TATATATATATATATATATATATATATATATATATATTTTTAATATATTAAAATTTTTTATAGGTTGTTGGAAACATTGAAGCAATAGTCAAAAGAAGAGTCGATAAGCTTGCTCAATACAAGTGTACTTTACAACCATTCATTGTTGTTGTGGGTCCAATTGAAAACATTTCTCAAATCTTCCTCTATTTGCATGCAGATTATCGTTATGAAGTTAATTCTCTATTAGAAGCTTTTTTTTTGCTTTTTAAGTGCATTTTCGCTCTCAACGCAATTTACTCCCCTGAATCGGCACAAATATGGCAGTTTTTCCAAAGAGTTCTTTGGGGTTTGCCATATGATGACACATACAACAGTCATTATATAAGCGTCGAAACATTGATTGGAGAGTACAAACATTTTACTCCCTAAAATTAAGTTTAGCTATTGAGTTTAGATATTAAGTTAATATCAGTTGCACTTCATTAATTGTTTAATTTTACAGTTCCGTAAATTTTTATAATTAGTCAGCAACATAATTACTTAATTTAAAATGCCTACTTGTAGTATTTGTTCAATTCAAGTTGATTGTATTAATACACTCATTTTTCATATCGCTAAATATCCAGATATAAAAAATATATACAATTGTGGTGAATTGAATTGTTACTCAACTTTTAGCACAAAAGATTCTTTCAAAAAACATTTACAAAGAATACATGATTGCCAGTTGAACTCATTAGTTGTAAAGGATATAAATATTAATTTAACTAATGAAACTCGAAAATTTTCTAATAGTGAAAATCTAAATTATGACAGTAATACTCAGAGTAACTTTCAGCAAAATACAAATAATCCGGGTTTTTCAGCGAATGATTTCAAAACTGCCCTTAATAAAGCAGCAGTCCCTGACGGATCCAAAATACGGTAAAGTACGGTAGATTTACGGTAGGGTACGGTAGTCTACGGTAGAGTACGGTAGGGTACGGTACGTACAGTTATTTACCGTAATACAGTATGACACCGTAACTTACCGTGATTGTACGGTAGAATACCGTGATTGTACGGTAGAATACCGTGATTGTACGGTAGAATACCGTGATTTTACGGTGAAATACCGTGATTGTACGGTAAAATACCGTAATTATACGGTAAAATACCGTTATTATTAGTAAAATACTATAATTATCCGGTAAAAAGTACAGTTTTTGTACCATAATTGTACGGTAGTGTACCGTGATTGTACGGTAAAATACCGTATTTATACGGTAAAATACTGTTATTATTAGTAAAATACTATAATTATCCGGTAAAAAAGTACTGTTTTTGTATCATAATTGTACGGTAGTCTACCGTAATTGTACGGTAATTCATCGCTGTAATTGGGTATATTCGACGGTAGGTTATCATTAGAATACGGTAGTGCGGGAACTTCAGAAGTATATACCGTAATATAATTAAAAATTTACAATGCTTTGAGTATGCATGTTTTTGCACATTTCTTCTAACTTCTTTCTACTTTTCTTCTACATTTCTTCTAACTTCTTTCTAACTCCATTATGTTTCATCCATAAGTATAATTTAGATGAAAAATATTAAAATATACCGTGTAAGCCAACGATTCGTAACGTGATTAGTCAAATATATCATAAGCACGATAATATATATAATTCCATGCTAACATTCAGACGCGCGCTTGCGCGCGTATCGTATACAAGTACGGTGAAAATACCGTAAACTGTACTGTATATCTTTACTTTTGATGAGCGACGTTTACTATATACTCATAACCTTAAAATTAAAGACAGACTATTAATGTAAAAAATGTGCGATAGTAAAAAAATAAATTGAAGTGAATTACTTTTGAATAGAATATTAATGTATGTCAAATGATGGCATTTTTACAAATTCGTAATTCCAATCTTGTCTCACCAAATGCTTCATTTGCGAAGGTAATTATTAAATAATACTATATTTCTTATCAAAGTAAAGTTGTATACATTTTTATATTTTTTATTATTGAGATAAATGCACAGCTGAATAAAATCTATATTAAAAATTTTTTTTAATATCATTTATTGTGAAGATTAGTAAATTTCTCAATTGTTAATTAATTTTATCTCATGACAGCTACTCCAATCCACTCAATCTCGAAATTATTTTTTATCAAAATGATTTATCACAACATTTTTAGCAAAAACTTATATTTTTGGGGATTTTTGTTGAATGAACAATAAAAATTATTGCACACTCACTAAAAAGTGCACCAAAAAACTTGAATCACTATTGACATTGGACCATGTCAGGAGTCTATCTTAATCTACATGATTACATGTTGGATCTTTTACCATTTATTGTATCATTCAACCATTCTACCATTGAACCGTATTGGGTCTTCTACCTTTCATTGTGAATTTAACAAAAATCACCAAAAAAGGCACAATCTGATTCAGAATCAAGTCAAAGTGGAATAACGAAAGCAGTCATTGAAACGAATAAACAAAATAAACTAAGTACAGATGTAGATGAGCAAACCTGTACAGTGGATAATAAAAAACCAGTAAGTTTTAATGTCAATCTCCTACATAATAATGAATATTTTGTTACATTATTAGTTGGTTATTAAGCCTTGGGCTTTTGTAATTGCACGACTTATGATGCGAAGCATCAAAGAGTGCTTTGCAATCGACAAATTTTTTTCTCCTCATTTCGGCAACTATTTGTATTATTATAGTCTTGTTCACGGAATCAATATATTTTGCATACTATTGTCAAGATAATTAAATGGATATTAAATTGACACTTATCAAAAATAGCCAATTGAAAAAAATTTTTTTTTGAAAAAAAAAATTTCAAAAATTTTTGAAAAAATTTTTTTTTAATTGGCTAAACATTAAAAAAATGTAGCATTTCATATTCTAATTGACAACCAATTAAAAAAAAATTTACTTTGATGAAAAAAAAAAGATTTTTTAATTTTTTTTCAAAACTATTAAATTTTTGAACTATCAAATACATTATTAATTAGAGCTTATTTTTAAAATTACAGTTATCTGAGGATATGCAGGAAGCTCCAACAATTGTGAATTTAGATGATGACATTATCAGTCCGGTTAAGCAAAGTGGCATAGATAATTATTTATCTAAACCTAAAATTCTTCATACGAAAATCTTGGATGAAACAGAAATGATTGATACCAGTAAAAGTAAAGTGGGCGTAAGTATTCGAAAAATTCATATAATTTACAATTTCTGCAAAAACAGCTGTTGCGAAAAAATTTTCAACTTTTAATTATTTTCAGAGCTTTTCTAGCGTATTATCAGAAGCAAAAAAACTTGGATTTAACTCATCTTCCTCCTCCGATAAATCTGATTTGAAAGTTGACAAAGACGCTAAAGTAACTTCTATTTAAAAAAAATGTTGAAGAAGAAAAACAAAAACCAAAAACGAGTTCAAGAAAACAAGTAAGTTTAAATATATATTTATGATTGAATATAATTTGATTACTATTAAAAATTTTGAATCATGATAAATTATTACTAATCCTAATAGTATATTGTAGGATTTAACTCATCTTCCTTCTCCGATAAATCTGATTTGAAAGTTAACAAAGACGCTAAAGTAACTTCTATTTAAAAAAAATGTTGAAGAAGAAAAACAAAAACCAAAAACGAGTTCAAGAAAACAAGTAAGTTTAAATATATATTTATGATTGAATATAATTTGATTACTATTAAAAATTTTGAATCATGATAAATTATTACTAATCCTGATAGTATATTGTGCAACGAGTGCGACAATTTGTCGATTGTTTGCGAAAGCGAAGTTGAACGCACGAGCGAAGCGATACTATTTGTTATTACGAATGCGACCATATATGCGGGCACAAAATCGGGCATTTTTTAATTTTTTTTAAATTTTACGTCAATTTAAAAAAAAATTTTTTTTCGCCATAATTTTATTGTTGGAAAAATTATAAAATTTCTGCTAAGTCAATTTTCATTAAAATTAAACAGCTTAATATTAATCAATTTTTTTTAAGTTCGTTAAAAATATGAACCTTGTAATGTCAACCTCACATCCTTAATATTAACAATTATGAAAGTATATTAAATACTATTTTACTTCAAAAATTAATAATTAATTGAAGAAAAATTTTTCATTAACTTTCATAACGTTTTCTATTGAGTATGTTTATGAAAAGGATTTATAAAAACAAAAAATTTATAGATTAATTATTTATACTTTCATACCGCTTTTTGTTACTACATAAACACGTAAAAAATGTTAATAAACATTTGAATAATGGTAATACAACTTTTATTATCGCGAAATTATATTCTTTGAAGTGTCTAAATGACATCAGAATTTTTTTCAAATTTTACAATTAATATTTATTTGGACAAAAAAATTATTTAAAAACTACGCTCACTACAGTGGTGGCGCACGCATGCCAGAACTGCTGCGCGAAAGTCAATTTTAAACGTTAAATTAAAATAACAATTAAAAAAATAAATATTGGAGCTACAATTCCGGAAGTTGTAAGTTGCTTTCAATTCATCAGTCACAAACAGAATTTGTGAATTTTGGTTCTTTAAGAATTTATTTATAGCATGAATGAAATTAGAAAAATAATGGGATTCATAAAATTTTATAGAGATCATCTTTTTTTGTGCCGATCCATGAATAACTTTTTTTAACTTCCCGCTAAGAAAATCGAAGATTTTCAAAAAACGGGAAGTTATTGTTTTCACCCCGTTTTGCAAAAATCGAGATTTCATCGAATCTCGACGTTTCGAGGTCCTAGGAAGCTTCCCTGACTATTCCCGCGATGGTTTTTGTATGTATGTATGGATGCATATGTGTATGTGTGTGTGTGTGTGTGTGTGTGTGTGTGTGTGTGTGTGTAAACTTTTCATAACTTTTGAACAGCTCGACCGATTTGATCGCGGATGGTGCCATTCGAAAGGGCTTGACTGAACTTAAATTTTGAATTGCAAAAAAATTACAAAAAAATTTTTTTCAAATGTGGTTTTTTTGGAATAACTTTTAAACGGCTTTACTGATCATTTTCAAAAACTAATCAGCTCTTAACTATAAAAAAAACATAACATAAAAAAACCACGTCGATCGCCGCCAGTCCGGCTAAAATCAGTTGATTCGTTCGTGAGTTATCGTTGACGAAAGAAAACGGAAAAAAGTGTTTTTTCGGAATTACTCTGAAATTTTTCGTTCTATCAATTAAAACTTAAAAATTCTTTATGTAACTTAAAAAACTGCGTCGAATGCCGCCAACCGCGTGAAAATCGGTTGATCCATTCAAAAGTTATTGCGATTTGAAAATTAAAAAAATAGTCTTTTATCAAACTTCTATCAAACTTTTGAGCTCGAAGAGCTCAAATGCATACAAAACCTATTTTTTTGAGCTCAAAGAGCTCAAACAACACACAAATAGTATTTGTGAGCTCGAAGAGCTCAAAACGTTTCAAGTGCAACTTCAAGCGTTTAGGTATAGAATAGGCGGGAAGTTCCAGGAATGGCCTTCAGGGTCTACCGTTATCCTAATTTTTCTTAAAGTTTTGTAATAATTATTTAAACTTAGCATCAACTATTACTACTAAAATGTCCAAAGCTCGACTCTTTTTTTGATAAAAAGTGTCAACATTGATAAATATAAGCATTGTAACCCAATGAAGTAGAGTCCCAGATTAAATAAAAAAATTAAGAAGCATTTGAAAGCATTTAAGTTTTAATCCTATTGAATGCTTTCAAGTACTTTCGAATCATTTTAAATACTCGTTTTATGGACGCTTAGCATGTGGGAATCATTTCCAATTCTTTTGTTTGCAATTTCCAATTTATTTTGTTATTCAACTTATTCTTGTGTATAGGTAGAAGTACTGAGTGATATCGCCATAGATGAGGACTGGTACGAAAGAGCGCAAGACGCCATTGACATAAAAACAAGAGTGAATTGTCTTATAAATGGCTACTGGTCTGATGAAATAGCTACAAAACTCTGCTTAAAAAAGAGATCAGATCGTAAACATCTTCAAGAAGTATCACAGGATGATATCAGTAATATAAAAGGTAAATTATTTATTAGGGTGGCGCAAAAAAACCGACTATTTTTTTTTTTCGAGTCTCGGGTGAAAAAATGTTAGTTTTTGATGTTTTAAGAGCCCTCACCAAAGGACAGCTCAAAAAAAAATTTTTAAGAGGTCACTCCAAATTTTTCAAAATTTCAAAAATCGTCAAAAATCGAATTTTTTTTTTTTAATTTTTTTTCTCGTTACGGTATGATTTTATAGACCAAAAAAAAATAAGTTTCTGAAAGTTTTCTTAAACTTCACTTTGGGTTTTAACAACTCACTTTTTTTCAGCTTCATAATTTATATATATAATAAATTCAATATAAAATATGTTAGTAATACTTGAATTTAAAATTTGTTTTTCAGCTGTTTTAGAAAAACTTGATGATGAAAAACCAATTAAAACTGCTAAAAAAAAAAATCAGTAACTTTACCAGCTTCATACGCTCTTGTTGTAGTGATAATTTTAAATTACGTCGACAAAAACATAAAGAAGAAAGTAGTTCTGATTGCAACAATTTAAAGGTGCATAGCGTTGAAAATGATGATATAAAAATGATTGATCTAGAAATCAACAAGCTGATAGAAAAAAAAAAAAGATTAATGAAGCACAAAAGTTGAAGGAGAGAAATCTGAATATAAATAGCGAAATCTTAAAAAAAAAGGAAGAATTGCTTAAACTGTCTGAAGAATTAAAAGAAAGAGAAATGAAGCTGAAAAAAGAGTAAGAAGAATTCTACAAAAAATTAAATCTTTTAGAAAAGAAAAGCGATGAAAATGATTCTTCTTCAGTTTAAAAATAATTATATTTGATAACACTTATACTTAAAATAATACTATGACTATTATTGTTGTTCGATTAGATTTAAACGAGTTTATTTTTTTTAAATTAAAACATTGATATTTAAAATAAAATATGTATTAGATAAAATGTCACTTATGTAATTACTTTTGTAGTAGTTATAGTTATGTTGGAGCTTTTTAATATCACCACGGTCATTTGGCGGTGGATTTTAGAATAAAATACCGTAAATGAAACATTTTTTGTATTAATTTTATGCTGTACAATTACTATAAAACACGATGTAGTACGGTCGACTTACATTACTGCGGTACGCTACCGTATTTTACGGTAAGTGTGCCGTACAAATACGGTACTCTACCGTATAGATACTGTAAATTACCGTAATTTACCGTTCTACCGTTATTTACTGTAAATTACGGTGATTTTACCAGAACAATTATATAGTGGAATAACAATAAAATCTATGGTCAATTTACATCTTGTTACCGTACCATATCGTACTAGTACAGTAATTCGGATCTGCTACGGTAGCGTATCGTTCGCACAATATTCTACCGTAACTGAGATCTGTTTCATCGTTTTCTACCGTATTTTCACCGTACGCTACCGTAATTGTACCGTACACTACCGTAATTTTACCGTTCTCTACCGTACGTTACCGTGTTTTACGGTTATAATACCGTATGTCTACTGTGCGAGTAAAATGCTGCTGTAATCTATAGTGGCCATACGGTATGTCGACCGTATTTTTACCGTACACTACCGTAATTTTATGGTATTTCAGATCCGCCAGAGGTAGAACTTATAGCAAATATGTACGCTAATCTTCGCTTGTCTAAAAATATTGTTCAATATATTATCGATGATATTAAGGTTTTTTTGAGTGATTCATTTATAGGTATATTAGAATCAAAAGTAGAAAATACTCTTATTAATTCTAACTGTTCCGACAAAGATATTAATGTATTCAAAAAAATGTTTGATGATATAAAAAATACTTTTGCGGATTTAGATACAGAACATCGACGGTTAAAGCATTTTGAAAAATCAGGTTCTTATATAAAACCGAAATCGTACATTATTGATCGTACTTATGTTATTTCAAAATCAAAAAAAGGTTCTAAGGGTAAAATGATTGACATATGTGGACAATTCATCCCATTACGAGCAACGCTCAAAAATTTTTTTCAGCAACCTAATGCTTTAACTGACACGGTAAATTATATGGAACAACTTAATAATAATGAAACAGTAATTGAAAACTATATTCAGTGTAAATCATGGGCTAAAAAACGATCTGAATACAAAGATGATGATATTGTGATACCATATTTTTTATCTGGTGATGACGTGGAAGTTAATAATTCTCTAGGTTCTCGATCAGGAAAGGTTATGCCCATTTACGCATCAATTCCATGTTTACCATCAGAATGCCGGTCAAAATTAGAAAATTATTTCCTTGTTTTATTGTATGACAGTTGGATTCATTTAAATAAAAATAAAAAAAATCGAACATTTCGTATTTACCGCCCGCTCATTAAGGAAATAAAATTTTTGGAAGAAAAAGGAATTAAAATTTTAACAAATCAAGGTGAAAAACATGTTTATTTTGTATTGGGTCTAATCCAAGGAGATAACCTTGGCTTACATGGTCTTTTAGACTTTACCGAATCGTTTTCTGCCACTTATTATTGTCGATTTTGTAAAATGGACAAGAATACATGTCAAAATACCATTTTTTTATCCCCTGAATTGACTCAAACTGTACAAAACTACAAGACAGACCTTAAAACAAATAATATCACGCTAACGGGTATACGAGAAAAATGTGTATTTAATTCAGCTTCATTCCATGCCGTAGAGAATTTTTCTGTCGACGAAATGCATGATTTTAGAGAAGGGATAGCTCATGATGATTTAATAGAAATTTTAAGCGCAATTACTTTACAAAATAGTGAATACTATGAGTTCTCTGTATCGGAATTGAATGAAAGATTAGCAGTGTTTGATTATGGGCCTATTGATTCCCTAAATAAACCTCCATTTATTAGAGTTGACGATTTGAGCAAAAATAATAAATTAAAAATGACAGCTTCAGAGTTAACCATGTTTGTTAGATTATTGGGAGTAATAATTGGAGATTGAGTGTCGAAAGATAACCCTTATTGGCAATTATATCTTATTTTACGAGAAATATTTGATTTCATTTTAGCTAAAAAAATTACAAATGATCAAATAAATGCGTTTGATACCACTGTAATCAGACACTGGCAGCTGTATAAGCAATTGACCGGTAATCATATGAAACCAAAGGGCCATATTTCTCTTCACTACAAAAAAACGTGTGAGGAAAGTGGTCCTTGCTCACATTTATCTTCAATCAGAGCTGAATCTAAGCATACAAATTTAACAGTACCGGCATCAGTTAATAAATATCGTGTAAATATTTGTAAATCTATCGCGATAAAGCACCAACTAAATTTAAATTATCGTTTTTTGGCAAATAGATCTATTACAGATTAAAAAATTACTGGTATTAAAATGAAAATTGATTCTAAAACATGGTCGAAATATAATTGTTCAAATGAAGCATTAAATGATTTCAAAAAAAGTTTTTTTCGATGGGTAGAATATAAAAGTATTAAATATACTCAAAATATTGTTCTAATTACTGGAACGAAAGATCTCTGCTCAACATTTGCTTTAATTGAATTGATCATCAGTCTTGATGATCGTAATGAATTAGTTTTTGTATGCAGAAGTATTGGCATGTTATGTCCAAGGGCGTTTTTAGAGCGGTAGCGTAAACGGTGGAGGTTTGGACAAACAGTTTAAAGAATACGCAATGGAGGTTTTAATTCCGTTGTTTAATTATTTTTGTGGGACGTTTTCGATGTACGAATTTACCACGCCTTCGTTTGAGACTGTACACGGATTTTAATTAGGAGTAGATTTACTTACTACTTGCTGGATTAATGGTTAGGATCGGATCCGTGATTCCGTGGCTGATCGTAGTGCCTTTTCCTTGATTGGACCCTCTGTTGGTATTTGTAGCGGATGGACGTGGATGGATTGGGCTGCTTATCTTAAGGACTTCTTATTTTTATAAAATGAGTTTATTTAAAACAGATTTCACTTTTCAAGATTTATTAATTTAATAAACACCAAAACTTCTACACTTTCACAATTTTATTAGGTCGAAATTAATATTAATGAATTTTATTTATTTGAGCTAACGTCCTCCAGTCCCCCGTAGGGTAAAGTGCGCAAATTTAGCTTTAAAAGATATTAAGTTAAAAGATATTATACTTATTGACCGAACTCTCGCCTAAGTGCAGAGCAAATTAGAACTTTGAGAATCCGGTTCTCTAGATTTTCTTACTTGTCAAAATCCTGCCTAAGTGCAGGGCAAATTAAGACTTTGGGATTTGACTTTCTAGGTTTTATCTACTTATCGAGCCCTTGCCTAAGTGTAGGGCAAATTAGAACTTTGAGAATCCCGACTCGTAGATATTAAAACTAATACGTGGCCTGCCGGTTGAAACCGCGTCTGAACTCGAATTAAGTGCAGAGCAAATTAAGACAAGGGACTTTACAAGGCACGGGCCTGTCAAGTTAAACGCGGAAGTCGAATTAACTAACAAAAGACGTGGATTTGGCTGTTGATCGCCTTTTTAAAAACTCGCGGTGCTGAGATTGCAAAAGTCCCCGCTAGTCAACCAGCAGTCACGTAGCTTATATTTTATTGTGGCTTTCGCGCATAGAGAAGTCTTCCATCTGCGCGAGTGATTTAAATTTAAAGAAAAAATGCGGGTGGACATAACAGGCGTATTAGGGTTTAATGAACATGTATGGGCATACGAAGTAAAAATCGATGAGAAAATTATATTTGTCAATGTTAAAGACTTACTTGACCCATTCCCTCTCTACATTTGTACCTCAGTTAATAATGAAAATTTCATTGTTTTAAAATATCATGTTTGTTAACTTTTAAAAAATATGTATTGTGCTATAATTAATTGTTAGATATGTTTGTATGTATGTTTATGTATTTATTATTATTGAACTTAATATAAATGTTATGTTAAACAAAAATTAGTAAATTAATAAAAAAGTAACTCAGAAAACTTTGTTCACCATTACTCTGTAGATTCTAATCCACACAAAAAGAAATATTTCTTGACTGGAGAACAAAATTATTGGCTCAAGAAAATTTTCGGGTGCCTGAAGAAAGACCGAAGTTGTGTTGGCTGAAGTAAAAATTTTTCTTGAAATTCTACTCTTGGTGAAAGTAATTTTTTCGTAATTCAAATTATCATAAATAATTGATATAATAAATTTTTATATTTGATCAAGATTTTTAGATACTTTAGGGAAGCAGCGCCACCTACTTCAGCTGAGAAAAAAATTTTCTCACCTTGAGAAAATTTTTCTCTTGAATATTATTTGAAGTTCCCATTTGACATGTTAATCAATAAAAATATTAATGAAAATTTATTTCTATCGAGATATTTAATTTTTTGGAGTAAGAGAGAAATTTTATCAAGACAAGAAAATTTACTTCTATCAAGAACTAAATTTTTTGGATCATGAGGCTGAATTTTCTCAAAACAAGTAGATTTTCTCGAGTTGAATAAATTTTCTTGGATCAAGATACGTATTTCTTGACGCAAGAGAATTAATTTTATCGGAATAAGTGAAATTTCTTGTGTCCATAAAAAAATTTTTTTTCGCTCAAGAAAATAATTAGGAAGAAAAATATTTTCTTGGCTCAAATGAAGCTTTTTTTCTGTGCATGTTTCATAAATAAATAAATAAATAAATAAATGAACAATCTCGGGAACCCTGGGTTACCCTAACTTTATAAACAGGTGCGGGTAACACGGTTGAGTGCCGACCGGGCGCGTCCTCGGGTGGCGGATAGGGGGGCCGTGGATTTGGAGGGAGATTTCTGGACTTCTCACCATTGGAGACAGGGGCCTCTGCTCAGATCCCGGCCTGCAGAGGCATCAGAAATCCAACCGGAGTAAAACCTGGTTTAGGATGACTGGGGCCCTGCCGCGGACCAACTCCCCAAGCTAAGGTGGAAGCAATCGTGCCGATGGCTGAATGGTACTAGGGTTATAGTGCCGCGAACGATGCCCTTGAGGTACCAGGTGCAACCCCATTGTATTGATGCGCCTTCCGACGGTATTCAGGCTCTGCCGGCGGTGACTTTTATTTCCTGACTACTCGTGGGGCCAAAAATGGAGAACCCAACTACAACACCCAACGGACCGAAGGACCTTACAGAGGACCCCGGTCTTTCCATGAAAATGGACATTGAGGAGGAGGCGCAGGACTCAGCGAATGCCGGGCACAGTGACTCCTCTAAACGAGATGGGAAGAAGAAGAACCGCAGTGGTGTGGCAAAGAGACGGGCCTTTAAAGCCAAACTGGCGGAGAGGGCTCAGACTTTGGAGCAGGACTGCGGAGCTACTCCTCCCACTATCTCTAAAGACAAGATGGTGGGGGAGTCCAAAGGAAATGGCGGTAAAAGGCCAAGACCCGAGGGCAACACCCCACCGGAAGTCAAAAGCAAAGCCAAAAAGGGCAAAATAACCCACAAACCGAGTGGATTCAGCGACGCGGTACGGGCGGGCATGAAGGTAGCAATAACGCCTTCTGGCTACCCTGACGTGTTGCTGAGCCAGGATACCAGCGACCTGGTAACGCAGGCACTCGTCGAGGCGCTGGACGCTACCCCCATGGAGCAAGCAGTCCCCCGCTTCGATGGATGCCGATGGGAACAAGGAATACTGTGGGTCACTTGCGCCGATAAAAGGTCGAAAGAATGGGTCCTAAAGACGGTCCCAGCTCTCAGGGCAAAAGAGGACCTCATTCTCCAAGTACTGGAGAAAGAGGCACTTCCCAGGCTCAGGAAGCTGACGGTGGTCCTAGGAACCAACGAAGAGAACGGAGTTATTCTCCGCAGATTCGCTCGTCAAAACCAGGGACTTAACACCCAAATGTGGAGAATCTGGGATCGACGAGTGGTCGGCAAAACCGTCTATCTAGTTCTAGGAGTGGACCAGAGGTCACTGGCAGCGCTTTCAGAGTGCAACTACTCACCCCACTTCGGAATGGGCAGGGCCCGTTTTTACGAGGCCCAGCCCAACTCCGGAGGGGAGAAAGAGAGCGCTGCTGGGACCACTGGGCCCGCGTCAGGAACTGAGACTCATAAAGAGAAACCCTCAGCGAGAGAAGTAGAGGCACCAGGCGCCGTCACCCCTTCGGAGGAGAACCGAGAGGTCCCCAAAGAAGGGACACAGACGGAAAAACCAGGGACCTTTACTACCTCACAAGCACAGAGCAACAAGTTCTTATTAAGGGCTGCGCGTCTCCTAGTTAGAAGGGCCTCCGATGGATCGGTTCCGGAGGAACGATCTGGATCCAGAGGAAGGCCCACTAAAGCGGAGGCAGTAGCCAGGGAGGGGGCCAAGGAGCTTATGCTAGGGAAACAATCTACCCTCGCACAGGCCCTGGCCAAACATGAAAAGGGGCCCGGTACCCTAACCAAGCCGAACTCTGAAAGCAAGAAGGAAGAAGATGGACACTAGAATGTCCCCTTTCTCCTTGCGTCCCCCTAACCCCTCTTCCACTCTCCCACTTCCCTCTTTCCTCAGATTCGCGAAGACTGTCAGCAATACAGTAACTACAACTGCAGGGCAGACGACGTTTTCGCAAATTAACTTGCAGCACTGCAAGGCGGCCTCTGCTTTACTCAGCAGAGACCTGGCAGTCAGACAGACAGATGTATCCCTGATACAAGAACCATGGATTAACAAGGGTCAAGTATTAGGGATAGAGTTGAAAGGCGGCAGCCTGGTCCATGGTGATTCAGAACTGGGGCCTAGGGCCTGTGTTTTCATTAACAAGAAACACACAGCGCTCAAGCTGCACCAGTTCTGCACTAGGGACCTGGCGGCTGCCTCAATAAAAATTCCTCTGGGGGAGATAAGGGCGGAAGTCATAATAGGATCTGCCTACCTCCCCTATGAGGACAATGAGGTGCCCACTGAAGAAGTCATCAGACTGGTGGAGCACTGTAAAGTTAACGATCTGCCACTCCTGATTGGATGTGATGCAAACGCGCATCACACGGT